AGCACTGGTTGCAAAGAAGAGCTACCAGCGCCTCGTGAAGAATCTTCACCAAGCTGCTAAAGCTACTGCAAGTTTGAGCATGAAAAATGCTGCTGAAGTTGTGTTCACACAAGTTGCAGCCGGGGAGGAATTGTCAGCCGAAATCGCCGTCACAACGGACGGAACACATGGAGGCGACGAGGATACAGCTCCTTATATGGCGTGCAGACTGTGATTGCTTGGGAGACGCAAACATTTGTGGACGTGGAAGTGTTGACCCGCTGTTGTACTTTCTGTACAAGAAAGGAGACTCCCTACAGAACTAGTTTGGAAATGCTATCCGCGGGATTGCAGGCTTCGTCACAGCGATGGCCCGTGTTATTTGGACATCTATTTGCCACAACGTACAGTTCAAGGATGCCGAGAAATGCAATCAGTTCTGCCCAGAAGGACTCATGGTGCAGGTGGCAGTAATAGAAGTGTGGATATGGCAATGCTTCTGTGGCAGTGTCTTCATCGTCGAACAACACTATCCCTGTTGCAGTCTTTGAAGAAATTAAACCTGTATTATGTCCATCTTGCCGACAAATCCCTCCTACAGGGCTGTGTTCGTCGTGCCACACAGAATGCCAATGAAGCACTCAATGGCACTAATTGACATCTCTGTCCAAAGGAATCATTCTGTAGGTCCATAACTGTTGAGACTGCTGTGTTCCTGGCAGTGATCGTGTTCAATGAAGACCACTGTAAGCTTGCCGAAGTAGTACAGCGTATGGGATGCACTGTTAGTCCGACGTTGGAGAGAAATCTAGGTGTCTTTCAAGAGGAAAGCTGTACAACAAGAGTAGAAAGTCGTCAGACAAGAAGCAAAGGCAAGTAAGCATTGCAGAGCAGTGAAGAAAGGGTTTCTGGATCAAGCACAGCACGAGGAAGAAGAAACATATGCTGCTGGTGGCTTTTGAAAGGTGAAACTGGAGTGTACTTTTTCATGAATTTGACCCTAATTTTCATGGACTCCGACATGTTTGAGCCAACATATCTCAGGGCTTACTTGTCATAGAATCATAATCTTGGGCATTATTCACATCTACGTGAAATTTGCTAGGTGCTAAACTAAACAGAACTGTCAATATCCCAGCGAGGTTCTTACAAATGGCATGTCTCTGAATTATCCCTAAATGCGGCGTTTCTGATCTGCAAAACTGAAAATCACAATGCTCCGCTGTACTATGTTCGCAAGGTTTAGAGTAGTTTAGCACCTTGAGCCGCCAGTCTGCATGAGTTCTGAACAAATTTATACATGTACTCATGGGCACCATTAGCCTCTGTTCTCTCTTGGCTCAATCGTTGCCCTGTCCGTGCGATATGAACGCATTTTGGCTGAGAGCCAGTTCGGCACTTCAAGAGGTGTGAGATGTGTGAAAAATGATTCTCAACCTATGAACACCCTCAACATCACTGCCAAGTTTGGTTTGGATATTCCTAGCTGGCCATAACTTCTGGTCCAAAGAGTGCAGTATACGAAAAAGGGGAACTGCCACCCGGCAATCAATAGCCAATAGGCAACCTAATGATGATGGTGGTGTGACTGCTGCAGGAAAAATGCTGGCTGTTTATGACAGTATGACTAGATGTACAATGTAGCTCTCTTGTATGGTACTTAACCCCTGCTATAAATGTGTTGTTTAGGAAGACTGGTGTATTGTGCAAGTCATAAAGAAGAAATGGGGCAGATACACGACTTACAATTTTCAAAAACCAGCTTCGTGTTATGTCTAATTTGTGTCAAAATTGTAATATTTAGACATGACAATATCACTGGCTGTACTTCTCTAATATGGTACATAACCCCTGCTATAAATGTGTTATTTAGGCAGACTGGACCATTGTGCAAGTCATAAAGAAGAAATGGGGCAGATATACGACTTACATTTTTCAAAACCTGGCTTCGTGTTATGTGTAATTTGTGTCAAAATTGTAGTATTTCAACATGACAATATCACTGGCTGTACTTCTCTTATATGGTACTTAACCCCTGCTATAAATGTGTTGTTTAGGAAGACTGGTGTATTGTGCAAGTCATAAAGAAGAAATGGGGCAGATACACGACTTACAATTTTCAAAAACCAGCTTCGTGTTATGTGCAATTTGGGTCAATTTTTAGTATTCGGATTAACCTAGGATACGACTCTGAACAGTTCTGAACAGTTACCGTAACACTACACGCTGTCTCATAACTGCTGCTGTTGCCATCACTGCTATCAAGTAGTTCGGACATGGCAGGAGGTAAACAAATTGCTGGTAGTCTTTCAAAGAATACTGGCGAGTGATGGGCTGTAAACGAAATGTGCTGCCTCGATAATTTCAAAAACTAGACACCCATGCTGCACGCTTGGAGGTGAAGTACAGAAGGCGAGTCGATCCGAGTATGACCTTTCGGACTGGACTGGCCTGAACTATTCCAAAAATAACAACGAGGGGTCACGGGTGCGAGTCAACCCCTGTGACACGGATTTCTGTGCCGTGTCACCTCCCTAGTTTGAGTACGACTCCCTGGTGGACAGTAACTGGGGGAGTTAGTGTACAGTAACTGGTGGAGTTAGTGTACAGTAACTGGTGGAGTTAGTGTACAGTAACTGGTGGAGTTAGTGGACAGTAACTGGTGGAGTTAGTGGACAGTAACTGGTGGAGTTAGTGTACAGTAACTGGTGGAGTTAGTGTACAGTAACTGGTGGAGTTAGTGGACAGTAACTGGTGGAGTTAGTGGACAGTAACTGGTGGAGTTAGCGGACAGTAACTGGTGGAGTTAGTGTACAGCAACTGGTGGAGTTAGTGGACAGTAACTGGTGGAGTTAGTGGACAGTAACTGGTGGAGTTAGTGTACAGTAACTGGTGGAGTTAGTGTACAGTAACTGGTGGAGTTAGTGTACAATAACTGGTGGAGTTAGTGAACAGTAACTGGTGGAGTTAGTGAACAGTAACTGGTGGTGTTAGTGTATACTAACTGGTGGAGTTAGTGTACAGTAACTGGTGGAGTTAGTGGACAGTAACTGGTGGAGTTAGTGGACAGTAACTGGTGGAGTTAGTGTACAGTATAGCGTAACTAACTTGTAGTTTCTTGCTCCTTTTTCGTTCCTTTAATTCTGAGTACATGCTCCATCCGAGTGATAGAGGTATCTGCTGGATTACGTTGTACTTGCAGTAAAATCTGCATTCCCAACCCAGTGTTACTCCTAACCATACAACATACTACCCATACATGTTATGAGTACAAGTATGCAAATCTAACACATATGAACACAAGCTTAAAGCATACACTGCCCTGCGTCATCGGGGTCTCATTCTTCTTACAAGGTGTAATTATGTGCTGTGCCCACGTCAGATCATCTGATAGGTATGCTATGCACTGTCTAGTCAATACCATGACAACCACACCATCAACCTCTCCATCACTCATTACCCTAGTCACCAGCAATATGTAGTCATGGTTACCAGGCACAAGTGGCACGCCTCTACACTGGAGTCGCTTTTGTAGACATGTCGAAAGCCTTCGACAAAGTGCAGCATCAGACTCTAGTTAGTGACCTCTACGCTCTCGGCATAGGCGGCGTTGCTCTGCAGTGGATGGCCCACTACCTGACCGATCGTCAACAGTACGTCCAGATTGGCCCAAGCAAAAGTGCTGCCTATGCAAGTAGCTGTGGTGTTCTGCAAAGATCGGTGCTGGGTCCATTGCTCTTCGTTGTGTATGTTCGAGATATACCTCATGTCGTGAGACCATACGGTGTTACCCCAACACAGTTTGCAGATGACATCTCATTACCAGCCAGTGCCGAGACACCGGCAATTGTTGCTCAGCGACTGTCCAGTGCAGTACAACACCTGTCTGACTGGCTACGACAGCGTGGCTTAATTCTGAATGAAGCGAAAACACAAATCCTACCAATCCCTCCTCACAGAGCACCACCCTTTGCCCTATGCGTGACATGCAATAGTCAAGATCTGCCGGTGGTACCATCGGCCAAGTATCTAGGCTTACATTTTGACACGTCAATGTGCTGGCAGACAATGGTTCAACGTGTTGCTATCAGGGTTTCTGCTAAAATAGCTGTTTTAGTCCGCCATGCTGCATCTTTACCCCTCTCCTGTCGTATCTGCTACTTCAAATGCTTTGTGCTGCCTGAGTTTCTGTATGCATCCAATGCTTATGCCCCATATCTATCTGTTCACCAGGAGCTCCGTCTGGAAAGGCTCTTCAAGCGCGCACTGCGTGCTGTATGTAAAGTGCCCCCATGGACCCCCACTGATACGCTGCTTGAGCGTGTACATGTCTGTCCCTTGCGCGCTACCATTCAACTTAGCTTGCTCTGCTTTATATGGCGTTGTCTAAATTCTTCAGGAAGTAGATTGTTTGAAACTTTTTTCGACCTCTTCCGTCACGAAGAACTCGAGGAGGCAACAGTAACCTGCTTATCGTGCCTGCAGCTGCTTATGCACATTCTACCAAATTGGTGACATATGCTGGCGCAGTTCTCTGGAATTCCCTCCATGCGGATATCTGAGGCATCACCAAACCTTCAAGTCGAGCGCTTTGCAACACATTCTTGCCTGCTTTTAGCTTTACGCCCATGTTTCTGTAGCTGTGCTGGAACTGCTCTATTTCGCCGCCACTATTTACCATTAGCCATGTCTCCCCCTCCTCCAGCCTACACAGTGGGTCCATTGTTATTAGACATCTGCCTGTTTTGGTTTCTCCACTATCAAGAATACTACTACTACTACTTACCAATACACTCAGTTGCTAAGCAACAGCCGGTCATTGCGATCATCATCAACCATCACTCATGCTGCAGGTATTCAGGACAGTGTGTCCAAGACCAACAGCAAGCCTTCATGCTCATAATACCTGCATCTACAAACAGTTGTGCTCTAAAACCAAAGGTCAGCATTCATGCACTGAAACTCCCCAACCGACAATCATGCTACCATTCTGCGCACCCAATATTCATACCACCAAACGGTGAAGTCAACCGTAATTCTCCTACAAGTACATATAGGTATTTACACACAGGCAGAATTCTTGCACCAGAACTGCGCAGTCGACAATCAGGCTCTGCTAGCACCACGCCCCCAGTTAACATAATTATTAGTAAAGTAGCTTATACATTGTATAAGCAGTCATCAGACAGCATGGTCTTAGACAACTGTGCATTATATAGTATGCTCGGATATACAGTCAACTTTGCGTATAACGACACTCGGCGGGGCATCAGAAAAGTGTCGTTATTTGCGAAGTGTCCTTAAACCCGAAGTCTCATTATATTATGTATTACAGGTGATTTGGGCTTTGCCCTGGGCATGGAAATTCTGTCGCTATTCGCGAATTGTCGTTATATCCGCAGTCGTCATTAGCCAAGTAGACTGTATAGTGATCATTTCTGCTCCAATGCACACGCCACTGTATATCCAACATTCACGCTCCAATACTCACAACCAACATTCATACCGCCATACCCAAACAGCCAGCATCCATGCTCTGATATACGCACAGAAAACATTGCAGCTCCAAGCCTGCCTGCAAGCACTCCCATTGCAAGTCACACAGTCACTGTCACTATCATGTTCTACACATCACTGTAAGTGACAAAGACTGGCACAACACAATCAGAATGTACATCAGTATACAATACACAGTCGTAGCCACTGACCATATCATGTCAGCAGAAACATTATATGAAAACATTTTAAAAGACACACACACACACACACACACACACACACACACACACTAACACACACGCGCGCGCGTGCACACACACACACACCTTGTGACCTTGTGACGCCCCATTGCCGGAGGCGATAATAGGCTTGATGAGCGAAGTAGAAATGCCGATGACGCTTGAGGTCGCCACTTCTGCGGAACGACCATCCGCATGCGCAGCTGAACGGCTTGGTGAGTAGAGGAGCCGGGGGGAGGGAGACCGTCACTGAAGATCTTCCGTCACCAGTGTTGTTGAGGGATGTCCGCGTCATGCAGGTCGTCAACAAGCACATCCCGCCACCGCTTCTTCAGTCCATGGCGTGGTCGAGTCGGTGGCAACTCTCCGAAGAGAATTTGCTGAGGCATCCGCTCCGGGCTCATACGTGCAACGTGCCCAAGCCAGCGCAGACAATGCTCACGAAGCAGCACATTGATGTCGGCTGGCAGCCTCGCTCTGCGGGCAAGCTCGTTGCTGGTGAGGTGGTCCGATCGCTGAGTGCATCTGGACACGCCCAGTATAGTCCGGATCGAGGACCGGTGGAAGCGGTTGAGACAGCGGAGATGTGTAGCCTTAACAGCCCAGGTCTCTGCCCCGTAAAACAGCGTCGGCATGACAACAGCCTTTTATACAGTTCTCTTGATGTGAAGAGATAAGCCACGGCACTGGAAGATGGGCTTCTACAGCCTACCAAACAAGCGGGAAGTCTTGGCCGGTCTGGAGGTGACCTCCTTATCCAAGGAGCCACACGTGCTGAGGGTGCTGCCGACAGCGACGGATGCCGGCGGGGGATGGTGGGGATTCACTACCATTGCCTTGGTCTTCTGGATGCTGACCGTCAACCCCCACTGCAAAGCACATTCAATGAACTCGTTCGCCATGGTCTCGAGAAAGGGGAGCGACGTGGTGTACAAAGCTGCATCGTCGGCGAACTGCGATTCCGTTAGGCAGGCTGGGCTGAGTCCGGACTTGGCTGTTCTGTCGCCCACCAACTTGCGGCCGACACGATACCGAACATCAACGCCAGGAACTGAAGATGCTGTCCGCCACGTCGCAACTACTGCAGAGAAGTACAGGTTAAACAGTGTAGGCGCGAGTGTGCCGAAGTCCATTGCAGACGCTGAAAGACTCAGTCACACACACACACACACTCACACACACACACACACACACACACACACACACACACACACACACACACACACACACACACACATGCACACACACATGCACACACACAAATGCACACACACACACACACACACACACACACACACACACACACACACACACACACACACACACATACACATACACACACATACACACACACACACACACACACACACTGATACAAAAACTCCCTCACATATTATACACGCACGCACACACGCACTCCCCCCCCCCCCACCCCAACCGACGCACAAGAAGTTGAACTTGGTGCTGTTTACCTAAGTAGGTATAATATTTTACATCATTATGCTGTTGTGGTTTTGTTTTTGCCTCTTTTGCGTGTTTTTGCCTTTTTTCTTTCTAGAACTTTGAGTTGAAGTTTTTTGGAACACTTGGGAAAAATATTCATTGTGTTTCTTTTGCCCGTAAAAGAGGCTGTATACCCACCCACAGGCACACCCAAGCACCCCCCCCCCCCCCCCCCCCACACACACACACCATTGGACCATTGGACGCCCATCAGATGATAGCGATGCTACAGCAGAAGCCATAGCAACTTGTGCTGGGATTGCACCATTCAACAACTTGCAAGGCTGAAGAATTGACCGCCACTATTCAGCCTGGTCTACACCACACAGCTTTGAAGTGGCTCTTTCTGGCCAGTGAATCCCTACTTTTTGGTCTTTTTCATTTTTTTCCCACACACACATTGCACCACATACTCCGGCATGCACCTCCTGACACACACACAAATGTACACACACACACACACACACACACACACACACACACACACACACACACACACACACACACACACACACACACACACAAATTAGTTGTTCTCTCTACCAATGTATAGAAACACGGACAATAAGACAATGGTCTCTTACCAGTAGATTCTATTCCAGGACTGCATACATGTACATCGTTATCCTAATCACCCATTCCTACTCTGCTCTGTTTGCGTATAGCATCATGTGGATGAATGTCTGGTGATATGCACATAGCTAACTGCTACATCACACTCATAACGTATACACTGTAGCGTAGCTTACGCATGGTTGATCACACAGTGAGCAATGAGTCCTGGAGGCACGAAGCCTACGTCACAATACCAGCCAAGTCGTCGATGAGTGTCCGCCTATGCGTGACCAGGCGCTAACTGATGTACAGCCTCACTACAGCCAGGTACCAGCCATCTACATGTATGTGAGTATCACCAGCCATGCGTCTACTACTAGGCGACGTGCGTAAATTATAGATGATGGTGGTACGAGAAGCATGACTTTTTGCCAGTCTGGTCTGAATACAAGATTAGAATAGGATTACTTAGAAGAAGGAAAGGAACAAAGGTTTACACCGCTGTATGCATTGTTGTCCACTAACGTATTGCCAAGGATGATGTAGGGTCAGAACGTGTGGCATGTGCCACAATATGCACTGATGATACTGACATTCAACGACCTGACGTTTGCCTCGATCACGTCTTGGATATGATACCCTGACCAACACACTTCCAGCCGGTCATAAAAATTAATATTAATTCCATTCATTGAAAGAACAAAAACTGTGAAAAACTGAATTATTTGTTTCCGTCGCACACATGATGTCATTGCCATGATAACTTTGACAGGATCTAGATCATAGACGTGTCATTGAATGAACCAGTGAGTCACTGACTCCATTCCAGGGAATCGGACGGTAGTATTCGGTACCACTACTTGGCACTAGTAGTACGGGGCACTAGGCACTACAGACTTACAGTCGTCCATCCAGGTTCCAGGGACTATTACATGTGTTTCACGATGACAGCGTGAACAAGGCGGAGGACCCACAGGATAGGAAAACAGTGTTCCTGACTGAAACCATAAACTGGTTGGCGGGCCCGGTCTTGCGACAATTTGAACCACGAGATCAGGGAATATTCCTATAGTGCTCCAATAGAGTAATGAGTGTCTGAACAAGGGCATAGCCCATACGGTTCAAATGGGCACAAGATCGAGACCCTACCCGGCAACCGGTGTATGTTTGCAGTGAGCCTGGAGTAGTGTTTTCCCATACAGTGGGTAGTCCCCCTTGTTCACACTGTCATCGTCAAACTTACATACTACAATCAGGTACGTGTAGTTACGAAGTTTGTGTTCAAACCACACTACCCAGATCTGTTCATTTCCAACAGCAATGGACAAACAGGAATGTCGTGAAATTATGACTCCATACCAGTAAAGAATGTTTCTCAGACCATTTGCAGTCACAGACTGAAATGTTTGGTACTTTGTCGGCTCATCATCTCAACACAGATCCTAGTGAGAACAAAACTACTTGTACGTACTAACAATGAAGGAACTTAGAAAACATTATCCAACAGGGAAATTTGGCCATACTGCTGAGCGCAAGCTGCAGTTAGAATGTTTAATCTGAGTCATTGACTATCATTATCATATACTGCGTTTCTGGGTTCTACGTAGCTTGTAAAAATGCTGTCCGCTGCAACCAGACAGAGCTTCCCCTGAGCCCAACAACAAGGTACCTCGGCGTGACCCTTGCCGCCGCTGTGAAGTGGGACCCCCATGTTGACGCGATGGCGAAGAAAGTTGTGCAGAAGATTGGAGCATTGTGGCGGTCCCGCAGATGTCTGAGCCTCAGTAGTCGCATCCAGTATGTGAGGTCAGTCATCATGCCTGACCTCCTATATGGGTCTAACGCCTTCTCTTCCTCCCTCAAAGTTTCGCAGCTTGATCGCCTTCAGGTCCTGCAGAACCGAGCGGCGAGAGCGGTATACGGTTTGCCGCCTCACACCTCGGCTCAGCCTCTGCTCGAACGGATGTCCCTGTACAGAGTTCGGGAGTGCTACGCCCAGAAGCGGCTCGTCCTGGTGTGGCGCTGTGTCAATGGGAAAGCCAGCAGTGTCCTCCAGGACCTATTCTCACCATCAGCTGGCAGCACCACCCGGCACCAGGTTTCCAGGGGCCTCACTGTCCCCTCGGCACAGTCAGAAGCCGGCAGATCTCGCCTGGCCTTTCAGGCAGCCTTGGCCTGGAACGCTCTCCCAAGGAGTGTAAGGGAGATCAAGGCTGCCCAGCAATTTAAGCTTGCCTCCATCCCCTACACCTTGCAATGAATGCTCTGCCTGACTTTTCCCGTCCACACACCACGTCATTTACTCTTCTCTGCGTGCTTGTGCGCTCAAGTTATGAACTCTTTGTGTTCCCTCTGTTGATGCTTCAAAATCGCTCTATTGACACTGCAAAATCGCTCTGTTGACGCTACAAAATTGCTTATCATCTCCCTCCCTCCCTCCCCCCCCCCTCTCTCTCTCTCTCTCTCTCTCTCTCTCTCTCTCTTTCTCTCTCTCTCTCTCCCCGTAGCTCTCTCCCTTTTGAAATTCGCTTCCATAGAATTGGGCACCATTGCCCGTTTGGCCTTGCGAAGCAAAATAAATATCAACAACAACAACAACAAAATTAATGATAGCCATGATGATGTCCATGAATGTCACGTGACCACTCTTAGTCAATAGGGCTTGAAAGTGATGACGTCAAAACGGTCAGGGAGTAGTAAGTTGACAGCAGATTTCTATTTTTGGATCCACTGAGGTGTGACTTTGCTATTGCCTAAGTATGTGAGTGCATAGCAACCCACTCATGTCGCATGCTGGTGTGACTTTTATTTCGCCACCAGTTGTAACCCCGCCCCCAGTAGCCAAATCAGTCAGTTTCACTGGCTACATCACCATGCTCTGGGTAAGACCGCTTGAAATGTGCTTGGATCCATACAAAAACTTGATCCAAGTGGATCCAGTTTTTGAATTTTTGAAATTGTTGCTATGCTGTGACGTAGCACTTTCAAGCCCTATGTAGTGGTTGATTGTGTGACGATGCAGTTTAATAGACAGTGTTGATGTGTAGGATAGTTTACATACAGTTAAGTCTGTATTTTTACACTGTTGTTCATCTCATAGTGAACATTTGGGAAAATCTCAGACAAAACGTCTTTTTCTACAAGTCATGTAAAGAAGAAAATGATTTTCGAACGTGATCCGCTGCAAATGTGCTGGCTGTGTCTCTAGCTGGAGGCCCAATGTGTAGCTGGAACTACCAGATATGATACCGCACAGAGCTAGAGATGCACACTCCCATTGTACTGAAATTGGGTATTGGCAAATCAGTGTCCCCGTAACCGACCTGGGGCCATACCACCCTTCAGGAGCCGGCTCTGTACCTCAACACTGTGTATTCTATTGGTAAAAGTTTGCATTCTGAACTCAATGCCACTGGGTTGTTATGTGTAGTGTTATGTGTAATGACGTCACGATGATTGAAGGCAAAACACTATAGTAAAAGGTACAGGCTGAAGTCTGTACAACAGTTTTGTAGTCTATTTGTTTACTAGGACAGCAGCCCTTTTCATTGGCACAAAAACACAATACACGGTGATTTTCAACACAATGGCACATTGTACATACATGTATAACAATTAATTAATCAAAGGAAGAAGAGAAGAAAACTGAGCCGGAAAGTACTACACTGTTAAAAATACACAGGAGCAGATAAGTTTGATAGCAAAAAGCTATAGTACATGAAGTGAGATACGCATGGAATTAACACCGTTAGTTAGCGGTCACTGCAATCTGATGCTGGATCAGCAGCCAGGACATGACGTCACTGCACCATGTGTAGGACTGGACTTGTCCGTTCTACAATACATGTACAATGTTTGTTTATTCATTTGTTAAATTTGTTTGTTCGTTATGTTTATTTAACTTGGCACGTAAAAGGGTAACTGGGTCCAATGGTACAAAGACGAATACGGAAGGAAAGAAGCAACGGGGGAAAGGAAACACAATGACAGCAACGGACAGAAGAATATCACACAGCAAAATAACCAAGGCTATAGAAGTACTCGGGAAATGACTGTTATGAAACCACAAGTCCTCAAATGTGAAAGGCCTTCTCGCTTGTGACATTGTGCTCGTTTCAATGCAGTTGTATCTCGACTCCGCCGTACCACTGATGATTACGACGTGGTATACGCTACATGCGCTATGTGCGGTTTGCTGTGTGCGCTGTAGTTGTACATGTATGTAGTACATGTACATGTATGCTTTTCTCAATTATACGCTGTCATTTTCACACTATAACTACCTGCTGGTTTTAGTGTTACAGGTCTACTCTCCATATACCGTATATTCTCTATTATAAGCGCCGTGCTTATATTTTTTCAACACCCCTCTACCCCGTGCTTATATTGGAGACCGCGCTTATATTGGAGACCGTGCTTATATTTTTTCAACCAATACAATCCATACAGAGCAAGAAGAAATCCATGCTAGATATCATGCATGCAGCATTGATTCCACCAAGACCGTGCTACTAATAGAGACTGTGCTTATAATGTTTCGAAAGGTGCTCACAGTGTGCTAGTATTAGAGACTGTGCTAGTAATGGAGACCTGTGCTTATAATAGAGAATATACGGTAACGTAATCTCTGGGACCACGCAAACATTATGTTATATCGAGAGTTATGTTATGTAGAAAACCGTGGGTGAAATACAAGATGCACCTCAAAATGAAGGGTATTACAAGGCGGGTTCAACCGTGCAAACATATACACACTGTACCACCATCGACATCAGATACCATCAAGAGTACATAACCCCCCAGAGTGTGCAACGCCTGATCCAGCTCTGCATAGGGTCTTGGTCGAGCGGAATCGGATCTTTGCGTCATAATACCGTACACATCTGAGGGGAACCCGGGGAGTCGCGGGTACTAGGGAGGTTCTGCTATACGTGAAACGTAGAGAAATCACGTAGAGAGCAGGTGTCTGGGTTAGAGTCTACGGCTTCGCGTGTTTTGGCTTCAGATTTCTACGCGGAGATGGGGTTCTCTACGTTGTGGCACACGCAGAGAAAATGCGTACGGATTTGCTGGGTATCGATCAACTGCATGCAGAAAACTGCCAAATATGGAAGGGGAAATTCCCAGTACACATTCCACGTGACTTCTCTAGGTGAAACGTAGAGCAGAACAGCATTTCTTTACGTTACGGGAACGCGAAGAAAGTTCGCGTGATTCTTTGCGTCGCGTTCCCAAAACGTAGAGCAGAACCTCCCTACTCTTGGATCAAAAACAATGGTGCCCTGCCTCGAGACCGGCCTTGCGCTGGTGTGAAGTGTACGCATGACATCAGAAGATCCGATTCCGCTCGACCAAGACCCTACACAGAGCTGGATCGGCGTTGCACACTCTGGGGGGTTATTTAGAAAAGCGATCCTGTCAGCTTTTCTATTATTTAGAAAAGCGATCCTGTCAGCTTTTCTATTGTTCACATGGCAGAAAAAACGACACCGCTATGCTACGTAAGTTTCTACGTAAGGTGCTCGGTACTTCACTTAGGCTACGTAAGTTTCTACGTAAGGTGCTCGGAATTAGATCTA